CTGTGCTTGTTTCATTACAGGAAACATCACAATAAACAATTATTTAAAAAAAAGTCTTAGAATTGTAATGAAGTGCATGCCAAAATATTATGACGCAGATTATTATTATACAAGATTTATATAGCACCGTTTTCTCAGCTCTTTACAATATAAAGGGAGATAATACAACAACGATACAGTTCAATACAAGAGGGTTAGGAGGGCCTGCTCCTTGGAGCTTACAATCTAAGAGGGAGAGGCTGGTGGTACAAAAGGTAATAACTGTGGGGGATGAACTGATAGGAGGGATAGAAGATTCCGTTATTAGCTGAAGGCAGGATAGGCTTCCCTGAAGAGATAGGTTTTCAGAGATCGCCTAAAAGTGGGCAGAGTAGGCGATAGTCAGATAGATTGGGGTAGAGAGTTCCAGAGGATGGGGGGGCTCTGGAGAAGTCCTGAAGTTAAGCATGGGAGATATATGCATTATAAACCAGATGTGTTTCAGGATTTCCAAAGGGACCCCTTCATCAGGGCTTAACATTGTTGAGCTGGAGAAAAAATCCACACAGTAAAGGTTTGAAATCATTGGATTAAGAATTAAGTAATAGCATAAAAGCTTGCTCTAAATGCTTGTTTAGCAGCTAACACAAATTAAAAATGAAGCCCTGAGAAATTCTTAAACTTGCAGGTCCCATGTACTGCAAAATCTGTCTGTTTAGCCTCTTAGATGAGGAGAACTGCTTTCATTATACACAAATATTTTTACACTTATTTTGACCTGCAAAACTATAGTCATTAGATGGGTGAACCAATTCCCCCTAACATAGCTCAACCAAAGGCATTTGTAAACCAGGTCTTTCTGTATGAAAAAGTCAAATATGGAAACCTAATTTCCCCCCAGAAATGTCACAGTCTGGGACTCATTGTGTACACCTATATCTACATTGGATCCCAGATTAGCATTCTAGTTCTATTATATGTCTTTATATTTTCATGAATATGCCTCGTGTTGCTCATCTTGTAATGAGAGATTATACAGTATATACAGTATATTAATTCATTTACTGTCATGGCTAAAGTTTGACTTTATTGTTGTCATTATTAGAGTAGCTATACTATTTTGTGCACAATAATCATAATTAAAAAAAAAAATGAAGCCAGACGATGCACACAGCCTACCAGCTGAGTACTACTTAAAGCAGAACTTTACTTACAAAAGTCATTTGATACTTCTAGGCTGGTCTTGAGGCACTACCACTTGTCACATGGGAGAAGAGGAGCGAGACACATAGTAAAGTCAATCAGAGGTCGACTATCAACCAGTTCAGCCAAATTCGATCTATGTATGGGAGCAGGGTGGTTGTACTGAAGTTGATCCATTGATCAACTTCAGTACAACCTGCCCGTCTGTTTTTTTCTTTATTATCACTGCTGATGGCTATAGCAGCAGTATTCTGATGCCTGGGAAACCTCTTTCTCTCAGAATACATTAGCTCTACTGTAGGGATTATCCCATCAACACTGAATGTGGTGAAAATCAAGCAATTTTCTTTCCTGAAACCCATAGTTGCAAGCAGTGCAGGGACAAGGTCATCCAGCGCCCAGGGCAAACATGCCAAACAGTGCTCCCCACTCTGTGTTGAGCACAACCAGTCTTCTTACCACACCTGACAACTACACCTGATCATTATATCTATATAGAGTGCAGGAGTCAGGAGTAGATACAATACAGAGTGCAGGAGTAAGGTGTATGTAATATACAACCCATATGGAAGAAAAATATATTTGAAATATATTTAAAAAATATTCTTTCCAAATATATTGACAAATGCGTTTTTATTACAAAATATAAGAACATATTTTTAAAAATACATTTCAAATATACTGTATGTCTTTAAAAATCTACATTTTGGAATGCATTTACATATATATGTAAAATATATGTTAAAATGACTTTTTTATATGTTATAAAAAATCTGAAGATTATCTTTAAAAAAATATATATTTTTTACATATATTTGTAAATGCATTCCAAAAATATAGATTTGTGTTTTTAAAGACATACAGTATATTTGAAATATATTTTTAAAAATATTTTGAAATATATTGAATATGGCCAAAATTGTAGCATTTCAAATATATGGCAATATATTTGGGAAGAATATTTTTTAAGTATATTTCAATTATATTTTTCTTCCATGTGGGAATATGCAGGAGTCAAGAGTGGGTAAACTACAGAGTGCAGAGATGAGGAGTATATACACCTTAGTGCACAGCAGTACCCCCTTTGAGACATTTCACACCTACATATATATATATACACATACACATACATCAAACATATACTCACATATACTGTATACATAAAACCATTACATTTCATTATAATGGTTTAAATCCCAACTCCAGGAAAAAAAAAAAAAAAAGAATCTTCCTTTGCAGTGGGTCTCCCTATACTGCATGGGTTAGCTGCTGATTTAGTCTAGGGGCAGAGGATACAAGCAGTATTAACCCCACAAAAATGTAATATATTGCAGTTTACCAATCATTAGATGTGATAGCTGCATTAGTTTTCTTTTTTAAGGCTTTCCCCCCCTCTGTTTTCACCTGATGGTCTGGCCAGTAACTACTCTATTAAAGCTCACCCACTCTGGATGAAGGAGCACAGGGGCATCTTTGGACAGCAGCATTGTCAGTCTGAAGGGAGTGTTAGATATACTAGCAGATGTATATACATTAAAAAAATGTAAGCCAAACTCCAGCTCACATTTTATAACCAGTTGCAGTTGTTTGTTCTTTTTGGGACAAAGGTTTTCCATGAATAAATACAATCTGATCATTGTAACCAACCCTGCCAGTAGTAAATGGTTTGTCTCATACCTGTAACTGATACATTTACAGGACAGTTTGTTCTTTTGAAAAACAACAGACTTACTGGTCAGATCACCAGATGAAAATAAAAGGAATGAAAGCCTAAAAAAGTAAACGAATGCTGCCACCGCATCTAAGGATTTGTAAGCTCCATGATAATAAATATTTGTTTTTGGGTTTAATACCACTTTTAACCGCCTCCCGCCCGCCATATAGTAAAATGACAGATGCAAGGCAGTTCTCTCATTCTGGGAAGACGTCATATGACGTCCTCCCATTCTAACCGCGCATGCCCGGCTCCGGGAGCGCACAGCATGGCGATCGATGGTGCGCTGTGTCCCTCGGACACAGCGGATCACCGATCAACGGAAAGAGCCGAAGATGTCAGCTCACTCATGTGATCAGCTGTGTCCAATCACAGCTGATCACATGTAAACAGGGAAATGCCGGTTATCTGCATTTCTCTCCCCACGAGCTATCACGCTGACACCTCGGGAGGAGAGGATAGGAGAGCCGGTAATCGGCATTCCTCGGAGGGGACGTGTACACAGATCATCAGAGCACTGAATCAGTGTGCCCTGATGATCTGTGTAGCCCCAGCAGTGCCACCTGTCAGTGTCCATCAGTGCCAGCTCTCAGTGCTCATCCATGCCACCTGCCAGTGCCTATCAGTGCCACATCAGTACCACATTTCAGTGCCCATCAGTGCCACATCAATGCCACATATCAGTTCCCATCTGAGCTGCCTTTCAGTGTCACCCATCAGTGCCAGTCAGTGCCACCTATCAATGCCAGTCAGTGCCACATATTAGTGCTGCCAATTAGTGCAACCTATCAGTGCCAGTCAGTGCCGTCTATCAGTGTGCATCAGTGCTGCCTATCAGCGCTGCCTATCAGTGCCACCTAACAGTGCCAGTCAGTGCCACCTATCAGTGCCGCCTATCAGTGCCATATATGAGTGCTGCCTTTCAGTGCCCATCAGTGATGCCTGTCAATGCCCATCAGTGCCACCTACCAGTGCCTCCTCATCAGTGCCCATCAGTGCCACCTATCAGTGTTCATCAGTGCAGCCTATCAGTGCCCATCAGTACAGCCTCAATAGCGCACATCAGTGAAGGAGAAAAATCACTTATTTACAAAATTGTATAACAAAAACTAAGAAAAAAAAATTTTTTTTTCAAAATTTTCAGTGGTTTTTGGTTTGTTTAAGAAAAAATAAAAAAACCCAGAGGTGATTAAATGCCACCAAAATAAAGCTCTATCTGTCACAAAAAAATGATAAAAATTTCATATGGGTACAGTGTTGCATGACCGCGCAATTGTCATTCAAAATGCAACAGCACTGAAAGCTGGAAATTGGCCTGGGCAGGAAGGGGGTATAAAAAGGGGGTCCTGTAGGCTAGTGGTTAAGGAATAAATACTTAAGCTGGCACACATGCATAGTTTTTTCTTTTGTTCAGAAGGCTGAATGCAAACAAACACTAACAAATTCCTGCATCCACATAAGTGAGTTGGCTGCAGAAATCCCCCCTGCAAGGATATGGTATTCTGACAGTGGGGACTCTTTGTTATCAGAATACACTGATCAGTGCTGCAGCTGATTGGCTGGAAGCCACTGATCGAACAGAGTTATCCAGCAGTTCATGTTAACAGAAGTCAGTCTAATGATTGGTTTCTGTCTAGCAGGAAGGTTACACACGGATCAAAATTTGGCTGGTCCCTGATAAACTGAATTTTGATCTGTGTGTACCCAACTTTACCTGATTCCTTGCTTCTGTAAGCTTCCTCCAGCACTGTCACTGGTTCCCCACCGCACCGCTCCTCCATATTCCTCTACATGCTCACAACCCAGCATCCCCTCTCACACTGCACCCAGGGCAGTTGCCCCTCCTACCCCCCTCCCCCTTGTCTTGGCCCTGGTTGTGGGTAATACAATTGCTTAATGTATGCTTTACCCATACCTTGAAGTGCCAGGTAGTTCAATTTGCTTCCTATGGCTGAATGGGGGAGTGAAGGGAAAACGAGTAAGTATTGCTGGAAAGGGGGTTTTACAGTACATGTCAAAACAAAAAACATATGCAGTACATATCTTCAATACATAGTTACATAGTTAGTCTGGCTGAGAAAAGACAAAAGTCCATCCAGTTCAATCATTAACCCCCCGGAGGTATTCCCGAGTGTAGCTCGGGGTAAGGTTTCAGCACCACAAGTAGTAACCCCGATCTACACTCGGGAATACCCTGCAGCATTGCTTCGGGATCCCTTCTGCACGTACCTTGTCCTGCGCTCCCGCGATGTCCTTCCTGCAGCGTCCCCGGCCATCTCCTCCGGCCGATGCCGGCATCTGTCTTCTGGGTTCTGTTCCCTGCGACGTCAGGACATACGGGGACAGAACTGGCGGGAAATTTAAAAATGTCAAAAAGTGACATTCACTAAATACACTAAGATCACGTCCATGGCGTCCAAAAAGCGTCCCTTTAGGTCAAAAGTGGTTTTAGACCAGCTAGAGAACAGCGATAGTAAATTAGAACCACTTGCAGAATTGATTGATAATGATTTGTGGGGAAATTCATCATCAGACACTGAAAACAATTTTGCAACTTTGCTCAGTGATGTGCGAACTTGGCGCTATATTTCAAATTTCCGTTTTTGGTTTGATTATATTATTGAATTACATTTATTATTATTATATTATTATTTTTTATGATTATTTATTAAATTCTAATTTTTGATTTTGTGTTTCTAATGTTAACTTAACCGGGATGTTTACTAGACTCTTGTTCGGACAGATTTCAGTGAGTTATTCCTAAAAATTACAGGCCTACAATAAAAAAACTACATATTTCCATGCAAAAAAATGTACCTCTTTGAGCACAAAAATACTAACATAATCAGACCGCTAGGGAGGCTACAAAAAAAAAAAGTTATAATCCTATACCCACAGTTCATCCAGATGAAGGAAACAAACCCAGCAAAGCATGATCCAATTTGCTCCTGCGGGGGAAAAAACATTCCTTCCTGATCCCGTGAGAGGCAATCAGCTATTCCCTGGATCAACTTTACCTAAAAATGTTACTACCCAGTTATATTCTGTGTATTCAAGAAAGAATCCAGACCTTTTTTAAAGCAATGCACTGAGCTGGCCAGAACCAACTCTTGAGGGAGTCTATTCCACAGGTTTACAGCACTTACTGTGAAGAAACCTTTCTGTATTTGGAGATTAAATCTCTTTTCCTCCAGACGTAAAGAGTGCCCCCTTGTCCTCTGTGAATACATGTATATTTCCAGGGGTGTTTGACACTGTACTGCTAGGGTGACAGTATGTTTAAAAAAAAGCAAAAAAAAAACAAGTAATAATATAAACATTTTTATATTAAATATAATAATATTAAATAACAATGTAAAAATTAATTTTGAAAAATTATAATTTTTAGTTATAAACTAATTTGGGTTTTTTTTTTACTGAAAAGATAACTGAATACATTTTGGCCAATATTTATGCAGAAAGATTTCACAGGTCTGCCAAAATTTTTTTTTCAAGAGCTGTTTTGGTTATTCCATGTAATCTTTATGTTTTTTGGTGCGCTGAATCCGAAAATGACCTCCATTTTGTCATAGGACATCACGTTTCCTGACAATTTAGGTAACTATGTTAAATAAGGCAATACCTCAAAATATATGGAAATAGACTTATAAAATTTAAGTTTTATTAAAAATTTTTCATGAAAATCCTTTTTTGAACTGAAATGAGCTCACCTACACACACTAAACTCGATTCTTCTTCCCTGTGGGGCTCCTCCTTGTGCATTTACGCTTGTGAGTAGCATCTGGAATGTCTCTCTGAAGCATCCAACAGTAGTCTGCCATCATTGTAATGCTCCATTTTCCCTGGTATCTCCTTTCCATCTCTTTAATGTCTTGGTGGAATCGTTCACCTTGTTCCTCACTCACAGCTCCAAAATTTTCAGGAAAGTAGTCAAGGTGGGACTAGAGGAAATGCACTTTCAAACTCATCAAGCAACCTAAAGCTTGAAATGCTTTCAGCATTCGTCCGACGATCTTTTTGTAGTGAGGATCTTTGTTATTGCCTAAAAATTTCTGTAGGACTTCTTTAAATGCAATCCACCCTTCTTTTTGAGGATTCTTCATGGTATTGACAAACTCTTGATCAACTATAAGCCTTCTAATGTCTGGTCGATGAACACACCTTCCTTCAGTTTTGCCTCCGACAGGCCTGGAAACTTGGTGACCAAGTATTTGAAGCATTCTCCATCTCTTGGAAATGATCTTACGAATTGCTTCATCAATCCCAATTTTATGTGGAGAGGTGGTAGAAGAACTTTATGGGAAGGTACCAAAGTTTCTCGGAGGACATTTTTTTCACTGACTGTTAGCACCCTCGGCTGCCAACTCTTCTTGGTCCAGTGATTTTATGGGTCTTGACTGTCCCATAGACACAGAAAACAAGGGTATTTGGTATTCCCACCCACTGGATTCTTCAGCAAAGATTAACCCCTTCTACCATTAGAAGCACAGACTCAGGGCTGAGGCTTACACATACAGCATGCTGCTGAGTATCCCAGTAGTCAGACATGTCACTCAGAGCAGCACTTGTATTCACCCCCTTTTGCAGGGGTGGAGGGGCAGAGATTGTTTACCTGCAAATAACAACAAAGGGCCAGAAGAGAACTAGGGAAATGAGGAAATAGAATTTTTTTTTGCCTAAAACTTGCTTAGCTTATGTATGTATTGCTGACTATCAGATTTACAGTGCTATATTTTTTTTACATAACTCGGACAACCCCTTTAAGTTTTTTGGCATTTTATATCTTAAATGCACTTATGTGAAATAATTAATAGTAATTTGGACTTTAAATTTGGTTTAAAAACCCATAATATAAAAAAAATACCAAAAATTTTAAAAATTTGGTAAATTTGCATTTTGTGGCAAATCATGACACCTAGGAGTTTCAATATTTTATTTGTTTTCAGCACACCAAAATACATTGAAATTAAATGAAAATAATCAAACAGCTTTTTAGTCGCAGACCTGTGGTATTCATTTGCAAAATTTTATAAGAAAAACACTTTTTTTCATTATTTTTGGACTTTTTCATTTATATAGCAAAAAAAATAAAAATCCCAGTGGTGAATAAATACCACCAAAAGAAATTTTTATCTGTCTCAAAAAAATGCTAAAACATTCATATGGGTACATGTGTTGTATGACCGCGCAATTGTCATTCAAAGTGTGACAGCACTGAAAGCTGAAAATTGGCCTGGACAGGAAGGGGGTAAAAGTGTCCGGACATGAAGTGGTTAACAGGCTGGGCATAGTTGACTGTGTAACATACATTTAAAGGGTCAAGAGGACAAGACTCTTAAAAGTCCAACTGAACACGTAATTCTTATTATAGGGCACATACATTTCTAAAACAAAATCCATTCTGTAAAATCACAGCTCACACATCAAGCTGGTATTTGTTGATTTTTGCTTGTAGCAAAAGGAGTTACAGTACATTAGCTTGCTGTAAGAGCGTGATTGTTAATGGTGAGATAATATAATTATATATGCCTGCTCTGGACTTTGTCATGTTGTGTGTTTTCCAGTAAAGCAGGAATATTGGTGCATAAACATCTTAGGCTGACCCCCATTATATCTGATGATTTTTAACCAACATCAAGTTCAACAATTAATAGATATGCTACTATCTGTTTAAAATAGCTGAATCTACTGTCTTTTAAATTCAATCCACCAAAAATAAAGAGGCTTGTTTATTATGTAATGAGTTATCTTTTTTTTTTTTGTGTGTGTGTGTCATCAGTTGCTATGATCAATAAGCAATTAATAGCTTCCAACAAATCAGTAACAATGGCAAAAGCTGCAAATTAATGACAAAGAAGCTTGAGTCCTCATGCACACGGGACGTTTTTACAGCTGCTGTTTTTGGCTTTTGACTTTTTTTCTACAGCTAGTAACCCCCCCAGCATGTTATCCTATCTGTCCATGCCCACATAGACTGTAATCAACTTTTTTGGCTGGAAAAACCCAGGACTAGTGGGTTTCTAGAGGAGATTTTTAGCTGTAAAAACGCTCTAACGCTGAAAAACACAGCAAAATGCCACAAACCTGTGTTTTGGGACTTTTTTTGACCAAAAAATAATCCATTTTTTTCCTGTAAAATAAATGCTAAAAAACGCAAACGCGGAAAAATGCCACTAAATGCTAATGCAGAAACGCTTAAAATAAGCTGAAACACACACACACACCTCCCATAGTAAAACAGCACACAGTTAACCCTTTGATCCCCCACAAATCAGTAACAATGACAAAAGTTGTTGTTGTCAAGTTGCAAATTAATGACAAAGAAGCTTGAAGTGCCTAATGTGATAACCTGGTATGCTCCAAATATGAAATAGTGTCTTTTTAATAGTAATAAGTACACCCACTTTATGTTGCAATGCCTGGACTTAGTGATTGGTTGCAGCTGATGCATTCAGGAATGGGGAGGTGGGGGTGCTATTGCTGGAAATTAACTGCTTCCCTCCACCCTATAGCAGAAATACTGTTACAGGGCGGCAGGGGTGTGCAAAATCACATATATATACGTGATTTTGCAGTTCCTGGCCCTGCTCGCACCTCCATTTGTGGCTCGGCTGTCAATTAACGGGTCCCGTCCAGTGATTACTCGCCGGCACCCAATGATCGCTGAGTATCTCCGATGGGGGAGAGACCTGTATGTAAACAATACAGATCTCTCCCCTGTCAGCATCTGCACACTGCTTTGTATGGCTCTGCATATCAGAGCCATACAAAGCAGTGTGCTTACAGTGAAACACAGACACATCCCACATAGTAAAACAGCACACAGTTAACCCTTTGATCTCCCCACATGATAACCCCTTCCTGCCCAGTGTTATTAGCACTGATCACTGCATTGGTGTAACTGGGGATGTCAGTGACACCAGATCAGTTCCCCCCAATGCCCACCACAGTCCCACAGTCCCACTATAAGTCGCTGATCGCCGCCAGTACTATTAAAAAAAAAAAAAAAAACCATTTGTAAACGGTATGACTTTCACGTAAATTAATTTACACGTATTGACATTTTTTTTAGCAAATACATGTAGTAGAATACATTTTGGCCTAAATTTATGAGGAAATTTGATTTTTTAAATTTTTTTAATGGACATGTTTAATAGCAAAAAGTCAAAAATGTTTTTTTCTCAAAATTGTCAGTCTCTTTTTGTTTATAGCGCAAAAAATAAAGAATGCACAGGCAATCAAATACCACCAAA